TTCCAACCACAGAATTGTGTTGCTTGTTTCTCTCTCCTTTTTTTTTCTCGTTTTTTTTCTTTTCTTTTTTTTTTTTGCGATTCTTCCTTTTGTTTTTTTTTCTACGACTTCTCTCCTCTGATTTTTTTTTTTTTTGATATAAAAACTGAAAACTAAAGATACGCAAACTTGATTTAGAGATCTGATGCTCTGATACCAAGATGATGGGAACCCCAAAGAGAACAATGAGACCCACAGCACAACAAGGGATTTCTAAACTCCAGGAAAGCTAAATCAAGTTTATAATAGGACCTTGACCCATTGTTTATGTCGCAACAAGAACCAAAGGTAAAAACCTTAACCCGTTGTCTATGATGCAACAAGAACCAGAGGTATAAAGTTGGTTGACGCCACACCCTCGAAAGAACGAGAATGATAAGTCAGGTTAGAACGCCATAAGAATAATCTTGATAAGTTCTGTAAAGTTCTAAAACGAACCAAAGAGAAAAGTCTCTCAAAATCTCAGATTCAATAGCTCCCCAATTAGGGTTACAAGCCATTTAAATAGGGAAAAGTAATTCTAATCAGAATAGGAAACTAACACCCTAAGCCCTAATCATAATAACCACGAATTGGGCCTCAAATAAATGAATGTTCAGCCCAAAATAATCTAAAAAACGTGAAAATCACTAAAAGTAACCTAAAGTAACATGAAATATCAGTTTGTTACAAATTGCGACAGAATTGTGGTATTTTGTCGCAAACTGTGTAATTTAGCATAAATGACCTCAATTAAGCTTCTCTTGAACCTGAATGATGTTCATCATGCTTTGATAATCATCCAAGCTTTGATTTACTTGTTACATATTGTTATCAACCCAGATCTGCTCAATAAGGCCATTTAAAGCTTCTCGCATTTTCCTGGCTCTAGCTCTCGTGACTGGACCTCCTGGAATGTGTAATGGATCTCTTAACGTGGTACATGTGGGGTCATCTTGATTCCCATCAGTAGCGGTCGAGCAGGAGAATTTCGTTGCTACCTCCTATTCTCCAATTGCAATGTTTCCAATTGCTCTTGCATGGGTTCAATTAACCTATTCACCATCCGCCACACCTCTCCCAATATCGCCTGCACCTGTAGGTTTGGAAGGGTTTGTTGTGGAAGCTCTTCACTTGAGTTTTCTTCTTGGTTGTGTGACATGCTTGTAATCTGCAAAATGGGGTTATAAACAATATGGAAAGGACCTTACCACACTCCCTCACATGTTTTAATCAAAAAAAAAATGTATCACTCAATTTTGCTCGTGTTTCACTGAATTGGCTTTTTACCCTCTAATATGCTCACCACTCTTGCCTTTTTTTTCCCACTACTGAATTCTCTTTTAGTTCTTTTCAAACTAATCAAACAATATTCAAAATTCCAGTAGCAATTCACTAGAAACTTACCAACCAAAATCCAAGTTTTAAAAGGAAGACGGCTATAAACACGTACCAACCAGATTTTGGGATTTACGGAAAACATGAAAGTTTTGGACAAAAATTTTGCACTTTGGGGTAAAGTCAGATTAGGACTCTTGGATATTAGAACAATCAATGAAACAATAAAAAAAAAAAAAAAAAAAAAAAAAAAGAGAAGTAAGAAAGACAGATTAGTTTGACTATTCCTAGTAGCAATTGGATTGATGAATCCTTAAGACAGTAGGATTCCTAACTGAAGAAGAAGAAACAAACAAAACTATTATCTCCTAATTTGAATAGAACTCAAGGAGAATTTCCAACTCCTTATTGTAATAGGATTCCTTCTTTTTTAGGGATTTGGCCACAGATTTCTTCTCTATATAAGGAATTCCCAACCATGGAATTGTGTTGCTTACTTCCCCTCTCTCCTCTTTTTTTTTTTCCTTTTTTTTTTTCTTGTACGACTTCTTTCTCCTTTTTTTTCTTTTTTTAAATTTTCGTGCTTTCCTCTCTGTTTCTTTTGTAAACCAACAACACAAATTTAGAAAAGCAAAATAAGAAAGAGAAGAATGACACTGAATTTTTTTTTTTTTTGACAATAAAAACTAAAAATTAAAGATACACAAACCTGATTTAAAGCCTGTGCTTTCATACCAAACTGATACAAACTACGCCAACCTATGACGAAACCCGTAAACAAGACAAGGCACCAAGACCGTTTCTAAGACAAGTTCGAGAGGATGGAACTGTGACCCGTTACCTATGACGAGGTAAGAACCTTGGTATGCAGAATACGCCACAATCAACTATGGAAGGGTTGATTGATAAGTTGAGGATGAACACCACGGATAATTCCGATAAGTTTGAAAAGTTGTTCAAAGAACTAGAGAGAATTTGTTCTCACAATGTTGATGAATAATCTTTTGTTTTACAATTAGAGTTGCAGCCCTATAAATAGCTAAAACTGATCATAACCAGAATAGGAAACTAACAAACCAGGTCCTAACCCTAATAACCACGAATTTAGGCTTCCACTAAATGAATGTTTAGCCCAAATAACACAACAAACGTAAAAATAAGCTAAAATAACCTAAGAATATTGTGAAATATTAGTTTGTGGCCAATTGCGGCAGATTTGACGCAACCTGTGTAATTCAACCCAAGAAAGAAAAACTTGGCATGCAAGCCAAAACCCAAAAAGGAAAGTAATAAATTTGAGCCAGAATGCTTGCTGAGTTCACGCCCAAAGTTCATGACCATTACTTGCAAAGATTAGGCTTGGCTTTGACAGAGTCTTCTAGAACTTGGATTAGGCTAATGTAATTTTGAGGCTCACATGGACTTCCCTCAATGGGCCTCCACAAATTTGCTTGAGTCCATATTTCTCGAATCAGCCCGTTAAGCGCTTCCTTGAACTTCTTAGCTCGAGCCTCATATGATGGGAATCAAGATGACCCCACATGTACCACGTCAAGAGAGCCATTACATATTCCAGGAGGTCCAGTCACGAGAGCTAGAGCTAAGAAGATGCGAGAAGCTTTTAAATGGCCTTATTGAGCAGATCTGGGTTGATATCAACATGCACAAGTAAATCAAAGCTTCGATGATTGTCAAGGCATGATAAACATTATTCGGGTTAAAGAGAAGCTTAATTGAGGTCATTTATGCTAAATTACACAATTTGCGTCAATCTCGCAATTCTGTCGCAATTTGTAACAAACTGATATTTCAGGTTACTTTAGGTTACTTTTAGTGATTTTCACGTTTTTTTTTTATATTATTTTGGGCTGAACATTCATTTATTTAAGGCCCAATTCGTGGTTATTATGATTAGGGTTTAGGGTGTTAGTTTCCTATTCTGATTAGAATTACTTTTCCCTATTTAAAGGGGCTTGTAACCCTAATTGAAGAGGCTATTGAATCTGAGTTTTTTAAGAGACTTTTCTCTTTGGTTCGTTTCAGAACTTTACAGATATTATCAAGATTATTCTTGTGGCGTTCTAACCTGACTTATCATTCTCGCTCTTAATCGTTCGAGGGTGTGGCGTCAACCAAATTTATACCTCTGGTTCTTGTTGCGTCATAGACAACGGGTCAAGGTTTTTACCTTTGGTTCTTGTTACGACATAAACAACGGGTCAAGGTCCTATTATAAACTTGATTTAGCTTTCCTAGAGTTTAGAAATACCTTGTCGTGCTGTGGGTCTCATTGTTCTCTTTGGGGTTCTCATCATCTTGGTATCAGAGCATCAAATCTCTAAAACAGGTTTGCGTATCTTTAGTTTTTAGTTTTTACACCAAAAAAAAAAATTAGGGTTCTTTTCTTTCTTGTCTGCAACTCTTTTCATCTTGTTCTGTTGAATCTGTGTTGCTGGTTTTGAAGAGAAAAAAAAAAATCAAAGGAGAGAAGTCGTAGAAAAAAAAAAAACAAAAGGAAGAATCGCACAAAAAAAAAACGAAAAAAAAAAGGAGAGAGAAACAAGCAACACAATTCTGTGGTTGGAATTCCTTATATAGAGAAGAAATCTGTGGCCAAATCCTT